CAGGATCTGAGACAAACATAGAAGGATTAAAGACGTACATCCATAATAACCAGAACTATGATGTTCTGAATGTTAAAGGTGAAGGTTTTTGGTGCTCACCGTTGGAAACCAGAGTTAGAAATGAACATTTCTGCAATGAGGAATTAACACAAGAAGCTTCAGATGTTGTTTCATTTAAATCGTATCCCACGACCTGGTGAAGCGTCTCCAAAAATGATAATAATACTAAAAGGCAACGAGATTAAACTTTCATTTGAGTGTCACCTTATTAATCATGACTATCTCATTGGTTTTTATTAGATGTGATGTTCGGATAATCACGTAAACCTGGGAGCAAAATTACAATTTGATCACACAATCTGTTTAGACAGATTGAATCCAACCGTCAAGTGGAAGAGTTACACGTTTCCATGGTTACGATGATAAAAAGTCAAGTCAAAGGTCAAAGCAGTTCTGAAAGGCATGAGTCAGATTTTCTCAGTTAATTTTATTTCCATGTAATAATTACTGTTGTTTAAAAGGTTTATGAAAAACATCTGCTGTGAAACTTTAAGGAAACGTCTTAGTTAAAAAAAAAAATTAAAGTTCTGTTCAGCTGAATAAAGTTATAGTGACTCCATGAATTGATTTGTTCAAAGCATCTGTTCAAATTCAAAAATAGATCCCAGAGGGAAATTAAATGTTGTTGTCAAAGAGTTATTGTAGATGGTGATGGCTGTTCAGAGTTACCTGCTGATTTTGTCATGTAGATCTGTTTATCATCTGCATAGTTATGATCTTAATACTTCTTATAACCTGTGCTAGTTGCTGTTGATTAGGAAAAACAGTTTCTTCTTTACGTAAACGTAATAAAGCACCAAGAAATGCATAATGTCAATAACGGCATGCAAAGCACCTCTTAATCCTTTGTGTTTAAATCAGAATGTTTATCATTAATTTGAAAGGATCATCTTCCACCCACATCTTCCTTTAGTTTTCACTGAGCTTTTAGTTTCAAAGAACACCGTGAATATTAAGTGGACCAGTCTCCGTTTCAAACCAGGTCAGGTGCTTGTTTAGTCATGGAAATGAAGGCCGTCCATCAAAGACAAGCGGAAGATGTGGATGAAACAAATCTAAAGATGAAACAAATTTAGTTCTCGTTTGATGTCTGATTCCCTTCTATAATAAATTCAGATTGTGTGGGGGGTTTTTTCTTTATTTTTTATCTTTAATTTATCATAAATGACTGTAAAAAATGTGTTTAGAAAGCAGTATGTTTGTGTATGTTGGATCACGTCCAGAGGAAAACAGCCCCATTGTTCCTGGAACCTCGTCATTGTCACAGGCATTGCAGGTGAGGTATCTACTTCCTGACAGCGTTTATTATAAAGTCTGAATGGGGATTAAACTTTTAACCCTCATTGTTAATTAACGTCCGCAGAAGCAGAGAGGATGAGACGCTTACAGCTGATCTTATGCAGAATCATACCTGTTTCCTGTTTCTTTTTGTTTTGCTCATGTATTATTGACAAAGAATTGATAATTATAGCAGCATCTTCAAGTTTCTCCTATGGCTTCCATCCATACAAACATTCAACTCATAACAGGGTTTTATTTTAACAATATCATCGATGTGAAGTTTGTCAAAATTTGCTTATTTAATCTTTGACTTTATTTTGTTTAGTCGATAAGTTGTTTCTCCAGACATTTATTAGTGTAGTAAGTTCTGTGATGCTGCTCTTGGCAGTTGGTGGTTACCATAGCAACCAGTAACAGACAGCTCCGCCCCCTTTTTTCTGTTGCCATCTGTAATTATGGTTAAATGTTAGGATTGGCTCTGTGTTTTCTTTACAAGTGTTAAATTTTAACATATGTTATAGACAAATGTAACAACCTGTATTTATAGTGTTGTTGACTGTTTCAAGTACTTTTTTTTCCAAAGTTGTCAAAAATGGTTGAGAAATATACTGTATATAATATTGGTAAAAATCGGTTATCACCCATAATAGCAATATTATTATCAAATATCGGTACATTTTCATAATGGTGCATTCCTAATTTTACGGTGAGTTGAATAGCTATTCTTTTCATAGCAACTGAACCTCTAAGATTGTAGCAAATTTCATTTTCGAGATTGAAAAAAATTATTTTTTTAATTTCGTGACACGATAGAAGAAAAAGAGTGAACAATATACAATACAATAGGGAGACTTGGGGAAGAAATGAAGCGGTCTTTAAAATCTTGCCTTTTTTGACCCTTTTTAAATTTATCCTTTGAAGCAACATTGGCCTCGCAAACGAAAAGCAAACCCAAATCAGCGTCTCACTTTCAATCAGAGAACAAAAGTCGCTCCCTCTTGCATCTCTTTTTAACCTCGTTAAGCTTCCGCACATGAAAGATTGCTCATTTCTGCACACATCTGCAATCATAAAGGAAGCGCTCCACAGAGTCAAAGCCAAAAGCTCCCAGACCTCAATGAAGCGGCTAACAAAGAAGAGGATGCAGTTCGTATGAATTCAGCTCATAATGAGCGGTCTGCCGCTAAAGGCTCCTCTCAGCGCTGCAAGAGGAACAAAATTACAGTTTGAAAAGGAGGAGCAGTAACCATGGTGAGTGACCACCTCTCTTCATGCTTTCCTGTCATTTACCACCTGAAAGTCCATGTGCAGCTACTTCACAGCACACACACAAACTAATGAATACACAACACCAACACACACACTCAGTGAACCGTCAGGCAGCGACTTCAGCATTCACTGCCAGAATTAAATGCCTCACAAGAGAAACGTGAAGGCAAGGAGTACATTAGATAGATAGATAGATAGATAGATAGATAGATAGATAGATAGATAGATAGATAGATAGATAGATAGATAGATAGATAGATAGATAGATAGAACCATTGTAGCAGAAGCTAACATCTAGTCTTCCTTACTTCCGATCTTGGTGGCTCAGCCAATCAGGTACAAGGAAAATGAATGCTGCTCTCTGACTGGCTGCTTTGCAAATGGTAACCAATGTGTGTCAAATAGCATTGTAGCTTCTCAAGTTTCATTTTCCTTTAAATATTTTAGATATGCTCTGCAAAAATAAATCAAGCTTATTTTTTTTGTCTTTTTCCCCAAAAATATGTGCCGCCCCCTGCTCCATATTACCCATATTATGGGTGTCAGGCCATATTCGACATATCTAAAACCACCACTTACTTTAAGAAAACATCAACTGAGAAGGTGACAACTACTTCACAGAAAATAAAAAATCATTTCTGGCTTAGGATTTAATTTTTGTCTTTCCAGCATTTATTTGCCTTTAGTGAATGAACTTGAAGGACCTCTACAAAGGTCTGGAGGAAGAACAGCGATGAAAAGGCAACGAAACACAAGATGGGAAGGTGAAAACCACCTGCTTGCATAACACCACTGTTGTCAGAGCAGAACCCTCTGAGATAGGATTACAAAAATATGGAAACTCTGCATCACAACCACTACAGTTCACAGAGCACGGTGGTTTACTTCCTTCTCACACCTGATCTGAGGAAAATATTCCTCTGCAGAAATTGATGCTGACATTAACGTTTTTCAGATTGGGGCGCAACAGATTTACTCACATTTTAAAGCAAAAATCTGCATGAAGATCACAAAATAGAGCTCAGTTCCTGCTGCTTTCGACCTACTGTCAGTTTTCAGACACCTGATTTTTATCCAATCCCAAACCCTTGGAGGTTAAACAGGCCCACAGCATCACAGATCCTCCACTGTACTCAACAGTTCATATTTTGTTTTACACAAAACCAAGCTAAAGAGTCTCGTCTTGCCTCCCAGTTAACCAGATATCACTATCCAATGGTTGCTATGGATACCACCAAGATGCCTGTTGTCGTCCTCCAACAGTAAGCACCCCTGACAGTCCGGCAGACTCAATTTGATTTTGGTCCAAAATTGCAACATTTGTTACATTTTCAGCTTCTACACTGCAATGTGTCAAATGAATCAAGCCCTTTGAAAAACTTGTTCCCCTCCTCTCCTGTGGTGGTGCTACACAAAGAACTACAGAAGGAAAAACCTCTGAAGAAAACACTGAGCACAACTTTCTGTTTCACAAAATATAAACAAAACTGGAATAGGGCCTGATTTGAGTGGTTTTAGGATTTCTATTTTGTTTTGGTAAAAGGACGCGACCCATTTCTGTCGCTGGACTCACATATTTGTTTTGTCCCAGATTGTAGTCCACTTCCTACTTTTGGAGCAGCTTCCAGTCCACTTGGCGTTCTCAAATGCATTCAGAAGGCATCAGAATTAACTTCAACCGAACTGAGACCGAGGTCTGACCTGAGTTTGCTCTTTTTGTCCACATCAGAGTAAGACTGCGCACTCACTTTTCCCCAAATGAACAGGACTTTCACTGTAGGTTGCATTCACACCAGCCCTCTTTAGTCTGCTTTAATCAAAGTTTGTTTGTGAAGGTGTGTAACCAAACTCTGATGCGAACCAAAGAGTGAGCTCTGGTTCGCCTACAAACCTCAGTCTCGGTTTGACGCAGCATTTCGAATGCATATGTGAACACCAAGTCAACCACAAACCAATACAAAAGCAGGAAGTGGACTACAACGTAGGGCATTGTGGGAAAATACAACCAAAACGAACCACAGGGAGTCAAAAGATAAATCCTACAACTGCTAAAATCTAACTCTCCTCCAATTTTGTTTATGTTTTGTGAAACAGGAAGTTGCCCTCAGTGTCTTTTTCAGAGGTTTTTATGACGTTTCCTTCTGTGGTTTTTGGTGCAGCGCCACCACAGGTGAGGAGGGCATGGGCGTAGGTTTGGGTAGGGACGGTAGGGACATGTCCCGACCAATATTCATGGGATATGAAAAAGTCCCGACCAATTTTTGCCATATTGGCTCAAAGAACGTGGATCTACGATCTTTGATTAGCAGCAACAGGCGGTGCGGAACGGAAGCTTCTTAGTTTGACATTTATTATGAGTCTCCGAGACCATGACGCCACCAAAAAAGAAAAGGACAGACATTAGAAGTTATTTCGCTACGACGGCTGTGAGTACAGTGAGAGGACCCATAAGTTAGATATCTATCACGCAACGCATTTGTTGTAAAGTCCGGTGTTTAGTAAGGTCAGCACTGAATGGGTGGTAGAATAGGTCTGTTAATTATGTAATATTTTTTCACATAGGCTGCTCAGACAGCAGAGCAAGGGGCAGAGCAGAACGATGGAGAGGTGGCTGGAGCTTCAGGGCTCCAGGTGAGGTGTTAGTTATACTGTGAAATTATCTCAGTAAATATGGCATTTGAAGTGTTAGTCTTAAATTAAGTTAAGCTAGTGTGAATACAAACCAGGTTACGCTTTGTTTGCTCTATAGGAGGCAGTCAGTGTGAGTGCCAGTGACCAGGGAAGTCAAGGCTCTTGGGCATTTCACTGTGCTGCCGGGGAGGGGGTCAAGGTCCCCACCAAGGTCCCCACCAAAACTTAGACCGAACCTACGCCCTTGGAGGAGGGGAACAGGTCTTTCAAAAAGTTTGGTTTGTTTGAAACAGTACAGTGTGGAACCGAACCACAGCAGCTGAAAATGTAACAAATGTTGCAATTTTGGTCCCAAATTGAACCAAACCCACCAGACTTTTAAGAGTGAAAAAACTGTAAGATTGTCTAAGAGAAATTTTATTTTGTGGGATAAAATTTGTGAGCCCATTTGTGAGCTTCAGGGGAAAAAATACTTTTTGTTTAAAAACTATTTCATTCATCGGCATCAAATCCATGTCCGGAATGCAGAGGCTAAAACACAGGAGCAAACATTAATATCTGACATTTTACCAAACCTCACAATCACGTTTTCTCATCTGAGTTCGACCTCAGTCCATTACACGTTTGGCTAGAACCTGACATTTAAGACGCAGAGGGGGTTACTAGTCTGCTCTCTTTGACAAAAACAATCCTGTGGCATCCCAGCAATCCTGAACAACAGCAGGTGCAGGAGCATAAAGCCAATTGGACGTTTCAGCCTGAGATGTTGTAAGGTAATCTGCAGAGACATCCCTGGTGAATAGAAATCCCTGCTCTGCTTCTCACAGCAAACCTCCTCCCACATGATGTGAGCTGGCTTGGGACCAGATCCCCCAGGTAGCCTGTAAGTAAACTCCTGGGATGCCAAAGGTGGCTAAATCTCTTACATAATCCCTGTTCATTATGAGGAGCCGATGGAGAGACATATAGCAGCCCAACTTATCACAGGGCTGGTGATAAGTTGATTAATCAATTAAATTACTTTTTGGTTTCTGAAGATGTAATTTTTGGAAAATCTGGATTTTTCACCATTGCACCTTTGGTTTCCATATTTCAGAAGTGGCGCCAAGAGCCGCCATCTTGTTTCATCAGCGTGTTTCACCGTTGTTGGACTTTGAACTCTACGATGGAGAATTAGCACCAAGATACCAGTTGTTTTATTTATCTACAAGAATAAAGTTGTAATATTAGGAGGATAAAGTAGCAACTCTAACACAAAAAATAATAGAAAATAAAACGGAAAAGTAAATCTTTCATCTTTTATTATCTAAGCCTCAAAGTATTATCAATATCAAAATTTTGAGCAAACTGAGAAAAATAAAGAACCACACTACCAGAGCTAAGCTCTTTTCTCGTTAAAACAACTTTTTTTTTCTTGTAATTTTAAGAAGTTTTTCTGGTAAAATTGCATCTTTATTCTGCTAATATCATGACTATATTCTCAAATTAAGCAGAAATTCTTGCAGCCTGGCCCTAATGTTCCGTTGTACAACTCACAGAAGAGATGATTGAATAAAAGCCACTTTTGGAAAATATTTTCAGTCATTGGTAATTTCTGTTTTAGAAAAGAAAGCAATCATGTCCCGTCGTCCCACCTTATCAAACCAATGTGTCGTCCTTACCTCCAGTACAAGCCACAGCTGATCGCCACATTTCAGATCCTTCTTGTAAAACATCCCATAAAACTTGACGACGTTTGGATGGTCGGACAGAGCCTTGAGGATGTTGTATTCTGCCTCAATCTCCTCATCTATATCCTGCAAAACACAGATTGCTCAGAATTACAGAACAGACACATTTTTACATCTCTAATCCTTAAAATCATCACAAAACAAACATTTATCAACTTTCTGATGCAAGTTTTTAAAGCTATCATCAGGAAAGTGTATTTATCCCTTATTTTGGGGATGGATTACGGCTAAAATTTCTAAATGGGCCAGTATTTTTCTCAACTTCTATGAATATCTAATGTGTAATTTTAACACCAAACCAAGGTTACCTATATGTGAGGTATTAGTATCGGTCCAATACAGAAAAACAACGCTGAACTGACTTAAAACATTTCTTTTTTTTTCCAAACACAACATAAATTTACTGAATTACAAATTTAATTGGTAACTCTGCGCCAGTGCAGCGCAATTAAAAACACACCAATAGCTACATAAGTTTGATCAAACATGTAAACATTTTGTTTGTTTAATTTGTTTAGTGAGAGCAATTAGGAGTACAACAGCCAAAGTAAAATAAATTATAAAGAAACTGAAACAGGAAAAAACCACAGGTTCACTATAAACCTGCTTTCAAATAGTTGACAAAGTGCAATTAGGAATGTAAAATAAATAATAAAGCATGACGTTGCACAGAGGATAAAGCATAAAATTAAACTGAACAGATCACATTTACGGATCATTGTCACAAAACGTAATCTAAAACATTTTTTATTGATTATAATAAATATTAGTTCCACTGGCTGACTCTTTCACTTATTAAAATGCATCTGTCCCATGTTATAAGTGAAATCATCTGCCAGTATTATACTTTTTCCATCAATAGAAAGGAATTATTTACTTAACACAAGCTCCTATATGCTATATTTACACTAAAAAGTTACTTGTTAAGTAGTCATTCTTATTTCGAGTGTACTAAGATATTTTCACTAGAAACTAGACCAAAAATACTTGGTAGAAATTAATGTTTTTACATCCTTTAGTCTTACAGCACATACTATAGCTGATTCTGGGCGCAATTTGGAGGTGTGTGTAATTCTCTGTATTCCAGTTTTTAAAAATGCAATGTTGTTTTTTGTAAGATTGAAAACTAAATCTACTCCACCAGCTGACAAGAAATGTATTTGGCTTATGGAAAAAAAAGCTGTTGGATACAGGAGATAGAGGTTTTACAGTAAACTTACAAACACGACTCACATGAATGGGATCCAGTATCTTAACAGCGGCTTTGCTTCCATCCTTTTTGTTCAGAACCTTGTAGACTTTCCCGTACGTTCCTTTCCCGATTGTCTCAATGATCTCCCAGGTGTCGGTGGGATCCGGAAAGTTGTCGAAGACAATCGATTTTCCTGATTGTGGAAACATTTTCAGGAGAGATCTCCTGCACAGCGACACAAAGCAAAACACAACCAACACAGATGAAGTGCTACTCTGGCAGAAGATGGAAGGGAATTCACCGCCGATGTCAATGAAGAGTTTTAAAGTAAAACCAAAGCACACATGGGGAAAAAACTATTTCAACCAATATTTCAAATCTAATGCTTCAATATGGATGGTCGTATTATAAATCAAACCATAAGTCATTGAAATCCATCAGAACAAACCATCAAGCACAATAACTCCATCCATCTTAGAATAAATGTTATCAAAGGGGCGGTTTATGTATTTTCTAGGCACACTGTACCATTTAATTGTATCTATGTTACCATCAATTGTTATAAAAATGCTGTATATATAAATCATAACTGCACCATAAACTGTGTTTTAATTTCAAATGTGCGCAAAACTTTGTTGAGATTCCACTAAAGTTGAAAAAAATCGCAATAGGCTTGTTCCAATTAAATAAATCACAACTGAATAAGTTTGTTCACGTGACAAGTCATTAAAAAACATGACGTGCCATCATCCTTCTACTACTTCCTGTCGTCTTCTTTGTCTTTTCTGTCAGTAGTAACATCCTATTGGTGATCCTGTGACTCGTGATGCAGAAAACGTTTTTCCATTGCAGTTTTGTGAAATACACTAATTTCGATGCAGCTGAAAAACTGCTTCATCATATCACAAAAACTTACCAAAAACACAAGTTTTTTTTTTAGAAAATTAGCTAATTTATTTTCATAATTCCAATTTTCTCAATTATATGGTCAATGAAAAAACAGCTTTGACAAATCTGATGCCTTGAAATTGGTCTCTGTCCCTTTAAGAAGCACCTGCTCTTTCTGACACGCCCTCTTCAACAAGTCATCACAACTTGACTTGTTGAAGTCAAGTTGTGATGACAACTTGACTTGTCATCACAACAGTGAAACTGCAGACAAGCAGTTTCACCAGGTGCTTGCTAATTACTGCTGCTGCTAGTCTGGAAGAGTTGAGTGGGTGAGGACAACTCTGTACTCTAAATGGATGCCAGAATACATTAAAATTATTACTCAAACACGCATGAATGAGTTGAAGCAACACTCCTGGTATGTTTTTGCAGGAAGAATGAATGTTATAATATGATATAAAGCTTCAGAAAGTTAATTTTGCAGAATAGCGCTTCTTAAAACTGTCTTAAAACTATAAAAGTTGTTTCTCGGTGCCTCTAAATTGTAGAAACTTTGTTAAAACTGCATCCCGAAAGCGTACAACATGTTTCTAGAAACTATGTAAACCACAGATGTCAAACTCCAAACAGTTTCTGATGTGTCTTGGCTCCAAAACAGCTGATTCAGCTCCATTTATCTTAAACTTCTGCAGAGGTTCTGCTTATGAACCAACATTTGATTCAGAAAACATGAAGAAAGAAATCATGGAGGACACTGACTTTGGTCACCTCTGGTCTACACCCTGTCATTGAACTTTCTGAAACAGGAAGAACAGTCAGTTGTTAAAATCTTTGGTTCCAAATATCCTCTAATCTTTCAAAATGGTTGTCAGATTTTTTGTTTTATACCAGTTTCAGTAGTCAACCAGATTTGGAGTGGCTTTCTTATTTGTTTTGTTTGTTTATTTGTGGCCACTAAACCACTTAACTGCGACCTATGACATATGAAGGCTCTTAAACCCCATGAATAAACCAGTGTTGTGTCAATACATTATACATAACTTCACAAATGGATTTTTAGACATTTTGGTGCCAGCAGGTTTCATATCAACTCAGTTCAATTGGTTCCTAAACAGCTATTGGCTAAAAACTGGAGAAACACACTGCCTAAAAAAAGGTTAAACACATTTTCAGAGCCTTAGGAAATATTGAAAGAATGATTTTAAAATAGTACAGGAGAAATAGAAGATGGTTTAAAGGTTTTGCACAGTATTGTGGATAAATAGGGGTTATTTCAGGAGGCATCCAACTTTCTGGCTGTTATATAAAGCAAGTCAAACACTCGGTTTTAATTATATGCTTGACAGGTGAGATGTATATTTAGATGCAGAGAGCAATCAGTTAATGCCACATTTATTTTAAAAATTAAACTGGAAAATCCTCAAGACAAGAATAAAAATGTGAAATCTACAAATTTAAATGGTAGACCAACAAACCAACAAACAAAATAAAAACATTGCTTCAACCTTTACAACACTTTCAAATAAATAGATTTCCCTCAAGGCTATCCATTTTTGTTTTGCTCTTAGATTCCCATCTATCAACCATCTATTTAGGATAAAATGGAATATCTGAAAAGGTGACTCACACTTACTTACATTACTCTCCCAATAAGAAACGAGACATTTTGAAAATTAATCCGTTTCTGAGCGAAAGGTTAGCAGTGTTGGGCTGGGCCGGCCTGGCCGTGAGTGAAAACCGCAGAGGAGGAGCCAACACGGGAGCTAATCTCACCAGCAATTCCCCTGCTTGGGGGCTGCCATCGGAAACCTTCTGTAAGTAGTAGGAGCTGCAGTGGGATTAACAGGAATTAGCCTGTGTTGCAGCATTGAGCCTTTCCCCATATAGACGTCCATTCATATGGGGAGGAAAGCCGTTCAGACGCCAGCAGCATGCATTGGTGCAGAAGGCCATCTGGATGTTCAGATATCTCCTTAAAGGAGCAAAACTGACATCTTGAACATGTTCCATTTGGGTTCTACTGCTTCTAAAGACAGCCCAAACTTATTAATTTTTGTTGTTTAAAAATCTTTAAATTGCTAAGTCACATTCCGCTGTTACCTAGCAACCCCAAGCCAAGCTCAGTTCCGTTACCTAGCAACCCCAGTTCCGTTACCCAGCAACCCAAGTGGAGCTCAAGCATGTTTTCAGTTCCAAAATACTTTATTGATCCCAAAGGGAATTTAACACAAGATTCTTCAAAGAGTTATCGCACATGGTGAAGGCAGGAAAAATCTCCTCTAGCAGTCTGTATTACAGCGGCTTTGAAGAAGCCTCTCACTGTTTCACCGCTGTACATGGGTCGTAGAATTTCATTACAATACTTTGTGGTACTATTATGATCAAATAGATGAGTAAAAAGCTATTTATTATTTATTTTATTTAACACCATTAAATAAAATTTATTGAGACAACAATAAATCCAAATTCTAATCATGATCAGATAATTTTCACACTGAATTATAAAAGATACAATAAATGCCCACCCTTACTGATAAATTCCTACCCTTATGCATTGTACAATGGCTGCTGGAAAAGACTAGTGTTTTGTTGTTGACTTACTTTTCAGAAACCACTTACTGGATTCTTCTTGGTTGTGTGGGAGGCTCTACTAATGCTTTTCAAAGATGTACAGTTGTATAACTGCACATTTGTTTGCAGCCACTTTCATCTGCGAGTGAGTTGGGGGGCGTGGCCAGCAGCAGCTTATTTGGATTTAAAGTGACAGAAGCCCTAAAACAGCTCATTCTAAAAGGAGTTAAAAATAAAATAAAATCTCATTACCTAAGTATAATTTTCTGCAAAAAAAATAAAATGTAATGAACATGTTTTTCAGGTTAGCATACATCTACACTAACCTGCTGAAGGAAGCATAAAAAGTCACCTTTAAGCTAATTATGACCACGATTATTCAAATGTAGATACATCTGTGGATGTAGGAAGATAAAACAAACCGATTATCTATCAGAAATGTCGCCAGCCTTTATCTGCACAGAGCAATTAGACTCCTATATGTGAATCCCTGTGCAGGTATTGTGCAGCATGGAGCAATCTGCGGACGTCTTCCATAATGCATCGCTGCCTCTGCATGTGTCAACACGCTTTGACACATGAGACAGGAAGACGAAACCTGACGACTCACACTGGACACCTCCAACCAGAGCACAAGCAGGCTGCAAGGAAATAATCCCTCAGAGAAGACAATGTGTGTGTGTGTGTGCGCGTGTGTAGGGTTATCTAACCCTGTATGCCCTGCAGCGCTGGCTGGATGTCACTTTTCATTAACTGTGTTGGGACGTGGCATTAACCACAGCCTGTGTACAAGTGCACATATAATGAGCTACACATGTAAGGCTTAGCTTGTGTCTCTTGTATAAACAGACACAATTAGGATTTTTAAAACAAAATATTTTAAAACATATAAAATGTGGACTGTGCCTCTGCTGCTGTAGCAAGAGCTCCTGGTTCAGTGGTCGTGTTTTAAACTGTCTCTTTGTGTTTTTGGACAGAACCATTGATGGTTTATTGCTGTCATTAACTGATTTACTCTTTAGGCCTGGACTTGACAGATCTCAAATAAGGAACGCTAAAGTGTGTGAGCAAAAAAAAAGTAACTTCTTATAGGAAGTACTCCCACTGGTGGAGCAGTTGTTGCCATGAATTGTTTGCACTCTTTATTTCTCTTTTTGTGAGAAACAATCTCTGACCACATATTTCTACAGATACTTTAAACTTTACTTTGTTTGTCAAAGTAAAGTCCGATTTGTTTATGGAGCACCAATAAGAACTGACCATTTTTGCCTGGGCTTGATTAATCGTCAACTAATTTAGTAACCAATTAATTGTTAACTACACAAGTAGAAAGAAAGAACAACATATCTGAGCAGTAATTAAACCAAAACTGTACAAAAATCTAATCAAGTTGTGGACCAAAACATCAAACTCTGGTTTGTTTACAAATCTCAGTCTCAGTTTGGTTGAAGTGAACTCTGGTGCAATTTGAATGCATATGTGAACGCCAAGCGAACCTGAGTCTGCTCCAAAAACAGCAGGGCATTCTGGGTAAACAAACACGGTAAATTAGCGCTAATGGGAGAAACAAAATAGAAATCCTTCAAACACTAAAACCTGACTCTCATTTTTGTTTACATATTATGAAGAAGGAAGTTGTGCTCGGTGTCTCCTTCAGAGGTTCTTGTGTTATTTTCTCCAGTTGTTCTTGATGCAGCGCCACCACAGGCGAGGAGGGGAACAGGTTTTTCAATTAGTTTAGATTGTTTGACACAGTGCAATGTGAAAGCAAAATGCACCAACTCAAAATGTTGCAATTTTAGACCCAATTAAACCGGGTCTACTGGACTATATCAGTGTATTTAGCTACGTCTCTTTCTCCAGAGAGAGCTATTATACTGTGTAAAAAGATTAACTAGCACAGTTTTTCAAAATGGATAAAAAAAATGTATTGTGTTTTTATTAATAAAAAGCAATTGCATCTGTGTTTAGTTTTGGAGGAAGACATTAATGAAAAGTTTGCTGTGATTTTGATTTCTTTGTATTTCTTGCTTATAGAAGGTACTGACAGCCCAATGCCTCCACATTTAGCTGCTTCTCTCGTTTTATGTATGTCTTCCAGAAGAGTGCTAGAGCTAACCAGACTCATGTTGATATTTCCTAATCTCCTTTAAAATACAATGCTTATATTATTATAAGTATTTGTGCCATTTGGATAAAAATAACACATGATTTTCAGATCACATGGAGAAACATCTGCAAGCAAAATTAACTTCTCTAATTCTCAAATTCAATCAAAAATGGCAAAATGTTCAATTTATCACATATTGACAAATAAACTCAGACCAAAGTGATGTTAAATGAAATGGTAAACGTATTTTAGAATAAAAGATTGGCAGTTATTTCATTCTGAACAGTGATCAAATTTATATTACTACTGAAGATTTAAACATTAAAGACCAAGATTAATTCACTGACCTGTGATGATTGGAGTTGAGAAAAATAATATTAATAAAGCAAAGAAAGTCACCAAGACAGTTGGAAACAAACACTGGAAGCATGCAGTTCAGCTGAGCCACTCCCAGAACTTGCAAATAAGGAATCCAAATGAAGGAGGTATGGACGAAGAAAGAAAGGAAAACAAGCAGGCTTGCCAAAAAATACTCTGATATATAGGTTTAAAAAGATCAGCATACTTACAGTTTTTTAAGTGATTCAACATGCTAGCAACGCATGTGTCCCAGCTCCTTCTCTATATATTAGAGATCAAAACTAGGGTGAGCATATTAGAGTTATTAGATTCCAGTAATTAGCTTAAGTAATTGGTTAGCATGTCGGCTGATTCTGATAGGGTCATAAATTAGCCCGGCGGAAGATAAGCTAACAGCAGCAGCAGGTGTAACAGGCCATGACTGCACACGGAGCTCTCAGCATCGCTTAGCGGTGTCCCGTTACACCGGAGGCGGCGGGAGGCCGGACCGGCCAACAGGGCTGCTGTTCAACCCGCTAACACACCGGATACAACAGGGAGGATTCACCGTTTCTGGGTTTGGATGGAAATAAATTGAGAATAGAAAAAAAAAAAGTGTTTAGAATTAGACTCCATGGGCAAAATATAAAGGTTATATATAAAGATAATCAGAATAAAATCCTCAAATAAAATTTACAGAAATTAGAATCTTGTACTGGGGGGCGAGATGGATGAAAAAAATGATTGATTGATTGATTGATTGATTGATTGATTGATTGATTGATTGATTGATTGATTGATTGATTGACAGATGAAAAATAGATGGATGATGAAAGTGTGGATGAATGAATGAGTGGATGAAAAAATTGTGGAATTGATGGATGGTAAAAAGTGGATGGATGGATGGATATAACCAATGAATGGAAGACGGGTAGATGGATGGATGGATGGATGGATGGATGGATGGATGGATGGATGGATGGAAAATGGACAGATAGATGTATGAATGAATGGAAAGTCCAAAGCCACTTTCAAACACTGAAATGACGGCGACCTAAGACTTTTGCTCAGTCTATAAATTGGAACCTTTGTAATAAAACAATGTATGACAGAATATAACAGCAAAGTAATTATGAGAAACTGCCTCTACTAGGGTTTTGCCTGAAACTATCCTTGAAATAAGTAGATTTTTCCCTTCAGTTGCCTTATTTGTTTACATTAATGACGCCCTTAATCTGACAAAACTTTGCTCAATTATCGCTCTCCCTGTGTGAGCGGGGAAAGCGATTCATGCAACTCTGGTTTACTCTGCAAATTATTGATTCTGCTCAAACTGTCAGAAACAAATTGCCGTGCCAGTGAAGCTGATAATTCATCATTCAGACTAACAGATGGCACCATGATTATTTTTCCCCCCACATACTGTGAAGCATGTCCTTTCAAACCAAACTCCAACCACAAAAACCATGTAAGATGCTCTTAGGTAACTGGTGTCGACTCAATTCAATATTTTTGGTTTAATCACTAAAGGATTTAACGTTGGATAAAAATTGGTAAAATGTATTAAGCTAGCCCATCCAAAATCACAGCCTCTCAATGAATTAACTCATTATTCTACTTATCCTGATTGAAAGAGCAGTCAATAGTTGATCTCAACAGAACATTCAGTGAATGAATTAGACCTTCCTAACTACTTCAAGGTCAAAAAAGTTAAAACTAACTCAGAAAACAGGTTTCAGTTGATTATAACCACATAATTTTACTGAGAAAGAAGAATATCACATCATCAGTATAATAATGAAAACTATTTTCCTAATAATTATATTAGGAAGCCCTATTATTTACTAAACAGAGAATAGGATGTCATCAGCGTAGAAATAGAAATATATTTTCAAACAACAGACCCAAAAACAAAAAATATAGCGTGGATAACAAAGGACCGAATACACATCCTTGTGGAACACCACACCTAGTGAAGTGGGCTGCAGGAGAACATTGAGCTAACTCACATGTGTCAAACTCAAGGCACATGGGCCAAATCTGGTCCACCGCAAAATTTAATGTGGCCCTCTGTGTATTGAGTAGAATATTATCTTATCAATCAAATCACATTTATAATTAATTTATATTTATAAATATTTTAAAAGTTATAAATATAGCTTTATGAGTACGTTCTCTTTATAAATTTCAGTCTCTGACTTCATATATATATATAAAATGTTTTTTACGTGTTTGTATGAAACAGATAATCAGTGAAAAAATCAATTTCATCTGCCTTCTTCCAGTACTATTTAGAAACAACCAATCAGAGCCAGGAGGCGGGTCTTAGCGCTGTCAATCACCTTTCTTTCTGCTACGATGCAGCTAGCACAGCTTGTTGTGAATGCTAATGCTAGTTAGCATGGCCGCCGATGACGGCAGATTGATAGTTTTCCTGTAATGGTGAGTTGTTTCTCTATGATTAGCATTAGCAAGTACACACCGCTGATTGACAGCGCTAAGACCCGCCTCCTGGCTCTGATTGGTTCAGTTCTTCAGACAGCAATAGTAGCTCAGAGACTGATTATCTGTCTCATAACAAGCTGTCACTATGGTGACAATTTTAACAATTATGTAGAAAACTGGAGCTTTAACTGGACTAATTTCAATAATAATAATAATGACATAGTTATCAGCTCCAGAACCTAAAACGGAAAGGAGCCATGAAAATAAGACAAGAAGAAGAAACCAGACAACGGTTGAGTCAGAGTTCTGCTCCCAGTCCTCACAGAGGATAAACACTGGACAGCGCCTCATCAATAACTTCGCTTCAGGGAACCCCCGTCTCTACTGTAATAAATTTGGAGAAGAAAGATGTCTTTGTCCATTAACACCAGTTTGCGATCACTTCTCCTGTATTCACACCCCCAGCCGTCACTGCTGACCCCGGGTCCCGTCTGTGTGGGAGGGGCCCAGCGTATCTGGCAGGACTCCTCCAGGCTCCGACGACTGCAGAGCTCCAACCTCATTTCCTGCTCTGCTGCTTTACAAATGGCTCATGAACGCTGGACTCAGACCAAGGATGGAGATGCACCGACGGCTATGCTAGCTGCATGATTAGAGCAGACAAAGGTCCAGACTGGTGTTCAGAGCCTCCCTGCCCCCACCTCATTATTTAACCTGTTTATATTACATGGTTGTCAAATGTTGATGCTTTGACAGAGATTCATGGATACTGATGATGTGACACAGGGCCATATTTGGGCTTCATATCAGGTTTATGAGGAGAGATTTGGTAATTAAAGGCGTATATAGCTACTATATTCCAATACTAATGCATACTCTTCATTTTATATGTTAAAAGGCACAAAAAACATATTCATGAGTAGAAATTGATAGTAAAATATCCAAGTTCAGGAAGTGTTCTTGTATTTCTAACAGAGTACAAAGAGAACGCACCATTCATGGTTATAGGTACGTAGATATTGTCAGCAAATCAATACAAAGAAGGAAAATGTTTTGTTTTGTCTTTTTATCCAATAGCACCAATAAGAATCTTTTCCTCAGGAATGATTAATCGTGATTAAACAATTGTTGAAATAATAATAACTGGAGTATACAGACTAAAAAATATGGCTATTTGATGAAAGAATGACATTCTCAGAACTGCAATTAAGCCAAAACTGTTAAATAATGTTTTGCATTTAAGATTTTTACCCAGAACTCCTCGAGTGACATACTTTTAGCTTCACCTCCTATTAAGCATTTTTTGCTACTCAAATATTGATCCATAAATGTAAAAATGATCAACAAATCAATTTGAAACTATATTGATGTTAAATCAAAAAGAAATGTGATGTTAAAGAGTCTTTTTTAACTGCAGATCCTTTGCTACAAATGATCAAAACTAAAGGAATCCTATATTGTTGCATTTTAGGCAATAAAATGTTTGTTTTCTTACTTAAAGAAAAAGGAAATGAATTGTTTATTTGCATTTTAATGCGTTTCTAATATTCTATAAAACATTCCCAAATGAAAAATCTGTAGAATGTGGCCTTTTTTTTCAATCAGTTAACCGATTAATCGTTAGAATGATTGATTAATCAATATCTAATTTAATTGTTGCAGCTCTAGCATCCATATATATCTTTTCTCTATGAAAAAACTGCATAAAGTGCCAAACCTGGTCTTCTCTAGTTATAATCTCTTACCACACATCTTTGAGTAACATGTGAAATATCAGGGAACTCAGCATGGCGTACGACACATTATATAAACAGTTAATGAGCTTAATTTCCTGACAGGTAACCTACATACTGCTGTAGAAAAAACACTCCAGGAAAAACAGTATTTGCTCTGACTGATGCCTCAGCACGTTTCATCCTGCGACAAGCAGAGGATGGGGACACGATTCAGTAATCCTCCAGCAAAGCTTAAGCTGAACCCAGTTTCCTTTTAACAGTTACAAGGTCAAACCTGATGGCACATTTGACTAAAGTTAAATATCTTTGCACATAATTACGTAATATAACTGCCTTGATTTTTATGCAGAATATCCTAGAAACCTGAACAGTGACTCAAATGCTCATAAAATACTAAAAGCTGTGAGATTTTAGAACATTTT